CCTTCCCCCTTTCCCCCCTCCCCCCTCTCTATCCCTCTGTGCCCTCTTCCCTGCTCCCCCAGGCACCACAGCTGCTCTCACTTGGTTCACAGCTCCCAGCCTCACAGACTTTCCGAGGTCACAGTCTCCGCAGGGCCAGTGTCCCGTCGGACTGCCTTGTACAGATGCCATGTGAGCGCAATGTGGGGACGGGACACAGCAGACCGGCTCTCATCTTATCCACACCCCTTGTCCTGAATCCGTCCCTGGACCTCAGCCGGTAACTTTGAACCCCTGCTTGGGGCTGGAGCATGGGGAGGCTCTAGTGCCCGTTTCTCATGCCCACCTTTGGTGGAGAAGCCGGAGTCAGGTGTCTCCTCACCCCCCCTTGGCACACCAGGCCCTCCTGAGCCTCTGTCCGCTGCAGCTCTGCACGAGCACCCACACGGGCAGGGTCAGGCGAGGCCTCAGGTGTCCCCTTCAGACGCGCGGCAGGACGGAGGGGCGGCGGGCAAGCCGAGCCCCCACATCCGCCCAGCGAAGTCCTTGGGCGCCCAGCTCTTGTCCTGACCCAGTAGCCGTCTCCACAGGGAGGTGATCTCTGAATCAGGGGGCCCTTACAGGGTGGGGGTGGGGGGTGCTGCAGAGGACGTGGTGTGGAGCCCACCTTCAGGCGTGTGCATGTTGGGGGTTTTCTTCCCACTGACCTCTCGGACCACCTGCCGGCTGAATCTCGCCTTGGGCAGGGCAGGTTAATGAGGTGGTTGCTTCTGTTTTGCCTTTAACATGAGGATTGCTCACCTAAGGAGATTTGAAGGCACACACCCGGGGCCTGGGCCCTAGGGAGTCTCCTCCAGACTCCACATCTTTGCTGCTGGCTTTAGGGCGGGGAAAATGCTTGTAGCTTGTCCACAGCTGTTGTTCTTTTAGATTTTGGGGTGATTTCCCCAGTAATTTCTCGGGAGGTACTGGGGAAGCCCTAACTTTGGGGTAATAAAGTAGGCGAGCTGTTTCAGGAGAACTGCTGCTGGGCAGTACACACTGACTGTGGGGTCCTAGGACCCTGAGACACCGGAGTTAGGAGGTGTGGGCTCGCGCGCACACACACAGCCAGGGGGCTGGCTCTGGGACCTTGGTTTCCACACTCAGGTGGCCCTTGTCAGGGTTACAGGCACAGGTGTCAGGGCCCGGTTGGTGGCACATGCCAGTCGTGGGGGAGTTGCTGGCATCACCCATTAGGGGAGAGGCCTTGGCTGTGGCCGCAGCACCTGCCCTGGGTCCAGGCCCTGGGTGGCCCTCCCAGGTGAGGGGCAGCCCCGAGGTGTCTTGGGTGGAACAAGGGACCCACACCCCCACCCCCCACTCTCCCTTTTGGTCTGGCCTCCCTGTGCAGGGCAGCAGATGGCCAGCCCATCTGCGCTCAGGTTGACCAGCACCCCTAAGTGGTGGTGTGGTAAAGAAGGAGCCCCCAGGGCTGGAAAGGGGTGTTGGCACGCACATTTGTGACCCCTGGGCCTCAGCTCCCCCTCCTGTCATGTGGTTCATGCCATGGCCCTTCCAGGGCATGATGGGGCTTCTGGACACGTGGGACCAGCAGGTGGTGATTGGGTTGGGGGAGGTTAAGGTATGCTGAAGTCAGCCCCCATTCCCTCTGCTCTCTTAGAGCTAGGGTGGAGCCCCCTTCCACCGTGCACCTGACCCCTGACCAATGAAAGGGCCCCCGTCTGTGTGGCTGAGTTTGATCTGACCTCAGACATCCTGTGTGCATGGTGGGCTCCTTGTGTGTCCCTAGAGTCTTGTGGCCAGGCAGGAGTACATGATGGGACCTAGGTACCCATGGCCATCCTGGACATCTGTCTGTTCCAGGAGCTGCCAGTGGCAGGCAGCCTAGAGCAGTGTGGACTCAGGGCAGGGACTCCAGGTGTGGACACGCGGTGTGGATGTGGGGTTTGGCCATGAGGTGTGGCTCTGGGTGTGGATAAAGGATGTAGAGTCAGGGCATAGACCTGGGGTGTGGACTCTGGGTGTGGATGCAGGGTGTAGAATTGGCAAGTAGACATAAGGACATGGGGTGTGGACACAAGGTGTGGACGTGGGATGTGCACATGGGTGTGGGTTTGGGGTCCAGTTTCTAGACCCAACGGGACCTGAATGTCTGCAGGGCTCTGCCTCTTGCTCAAGCGCGCAACTGCTAGAGGGTGCGGGTGTTGGGGGCTCACCACGTGCCCAGCCGTGCCATTGCCCAGCCCCTGCTGGCCTCACACCAGTGTGATCTCTGGTCGATGGATGAGCACACTGAGGCCAGCTGACCCAGGGTCCGGGGTGCAGAGCTCCCGCTCCCGGGGGAGGGGGCCGAGTGAGCTGCCAGGCCGCCAAGGTGGGTCTGAGGCACAGGAGGGAGCTGGCTGCCGATAGGGGGTGGGGACAGCGTGGGAGATGTGCCATCGCTCGCTGGGGCACTGGTGGGCAGGGTGGGCTGTGGAGACACACCAGGGGTGATCTGGCTGTTTGCTGTCCCCAAGGTGCCCCCCGCCTGCAGTGTTTCCAGATCAGAGTGTCTGGTCTGGTGCATCTGCCGGGTGGCTGACCCGGTAATGTGGGTCTCGCTCCCCCCTCTCCTGGTGGTTAGTGGGCCGCAGATGTGTTCTTCCACTGGGGAAATGCGCCTCCTGCATGGTTCCTGGCGGGCAGGTAGGGACACTGCGTATTTGCTGCAGGTGTTTTCCGTAGTTAGGACTTCAAAGTTTGCCGTGGGCTTGGAGCTCTCTCTCAGCTCGGCAGTGTCCTCTCCGATTTGCTTTGTGTTTGTTGTTTGTTTGTTTAGAAAGCGAGCAGACAAACGCACCCTCATAGCCTCTCTGGACAGGTTTGTCTTTTACACCCGACTCTTTAGGCCGCGGGGACTTCAGCTCCATTTGTGTTCTGAGGTGAAGAGTGGACTCCATGTGTTCAAAATCATTTGCCAGGGCCTTTCTGGGCTCAGGCTCTGCTCCCAGGATGGTGGCCCGTGGCAGCTGTGGCAGGCAGTGTCTAGGGCCCTGGGGGCTGCAGTGGCTGCGGAGGGTCTGGTGCGCGGAGCGCCCCCCTGGGCCAGGGGGCAGGGGCCACAGTGAGGGGGCGCTTGGGGTCTGGGCAGCAGCCTTACCTGGAGCACCCGGGCTCCTCCTCGTGATGGGGTGAGTAATGGTCATCGCCTCCACGGGGTCGCACGCGTCCAGTACAGTCCTCGATGCTGCCCGGTACAGAGGGAGGGCTCAGCCAGCCTTAGTGATGGCTGGGTGACGGTGGTGACCGATGACATGGGCACAGGCAGGTCCGTTGTCTTTTTGATTGACATAAAATTCACATAACGTGAAACTTAACCATTTTAAAGTGAACGCTTTAGTGGCATTTAGTACCTTCCCCGTGTTGTGCAGACATTGCCTCCACCCAGTTGCAAAATATTTGACCCCAAAAATGGACCCCGTGTCCACTGAACCGTCACTGCCCATTCCCCACCCCCAGCCTCTGGCTCCGCTGGTCGGTCCTCTACCTCCTCCGAGCACTGCATACGGATGGAGTCGTCCCACACATGACCTTCTGTGTCTGGCTTCTTTCACTCAGCTTGAGTTTCTGGGGTTCACCCATGCTGCAGCAGGTGCCAGCACCCCTTCCTTTTCAGGGCTGAGTACTGCTCCGTCATGTGGACGTGCCATACGTGTCATCGATTCATCAGCTGATGGACATTTTGGCCATTGGGATCAATACTGCTGTGAACATTGGTGTTGGAGTCCCCATTCCCAGGTCTTTGGGGCACAGACTCAGGAGTGGGATTGCTGGGGCCTCTCATAATTCTGTGTGTAACCTTTTGGGGGACCGTCAAACCACTTCCATAGATGCTGTGCCATCTTTATTCGTCGCCAGCGATGCAAGAGGATTCTCATTTTACCACATCCCCACCGGCACTTGCTGTCTTCCCCGTGTTTTATTCTTGTGAAAATTGTAGCCGTTCTCATGGGTGTGGGTCGCATCTCATGGTTTTGATGCACATTCCGGTGACTTTAGATGACTAAGGATGATGAGCGTCTTTCCTGAGCTTGTGGGCCGTTTGCATCTCACCTTTGGAGAAATGCCTGTTCAGGCCCTTTGCCCGTTTAATAGTTGATTTGTGGTTCCTTTTGTTGCTGAGCTGTAAAGCTCATTGTGCCTTTTGGACGCTAGTACTTTGCAAATACTTTCTCCCATTCTTTATGTTACCTTTTTACTGTCTTTGTAGTGACCTTTAATGCACGAGAGTTCTACATTTTGATGATACCCAGTTTATTTTTTGTTTTGTTGCTTGTGTTATTGGTGTCCTATTTAGGAATCCATGACCAAATCCATGGTCATGAGGGTGTACCATGTCCTCTTCTTAGAGCTTTACAGTGTTAGGCCTTGTATTTAGGTTGTTGATCCATGTTTAGTTAATTTTTTATATGGTGTGAGGTAGGGATTCAACTTCATTCTTTTGATACTCAGTTGTCCCAGCGCTGTAGTACCACCCCCTGGGACAGGAGCCCCCCATGGGGTCAGGAGGGGCCTAACCCATAGCCCCGAGCTGCCCCCGGTGAAGTGGTGGGGGCAGCCCACCTCCGAGACACCCTTGGCCTCTCTGGTTCTAGGTGACAGGATAGTGGTGGCCTCAGGCAGGCAGGCCTGTTGGACGGCCTGGTCCCTCTGTGTGTGCTGGTCATGCATAGCAAGACTGTCCTTGCCCCTGCCTCCTTCCTCCTCCTCTTCCCCTGTCCTGTCCTTGTGGGCCACTGTCCTCACACATGCTCTGCTCCGTCTGCACTCACACCACTGTGGGCCCCTCCTGTGGGCTGAGCAGGAGTTGCCTGAGGTTCTGCTGGGCAAGTACTTGAGGCATTGAATGCTGGCCACATCTGTGTTTCCTCTGTTTCAGCTGTGTGGGAGTGGAAGAGGAGGAGGCCCCAGACATCGACATATACCACTGCCCCAACTGCGAGAAAACCCACGGGAAGTCTACCCGTAAGTAGGGGCTGTGCTGCTGACCCTCAGTTTGCACTCGCCCTGGCCTGGCTTTCTGGGTGAACGCCCTGGGTAGTTGCACACTGGTGCCTGGGACCACTGCCGGCCCTGCTCACTGCCCCTATGGACCTGTCACTGCCCCTCCCGACCTGCTCCTGCCCCTGTGGACCTGTCACTGACCTCCCGATCGGCTCCTGCCCGTGGGTGCAACTGAAGCCACCCAGGTTGTGCTCTCAGAGGGGCCAGGCCCATCTGAGATGGGAACACCACACAAGGTCTGGGAGTGCCTGTGTTGGGGATCTGCTGTCCCTTCTCCAGTGCCCTCTGCTGGGAGAGGCCCTTTCTCAAACTGCCTGCTGGTCCTGTGGGGGGTGTGTGGCACATCCTGTAGGGGCTCCTTAGGGAGCAGGCTCATCCATGGTGGCTCCATGGGGGGCTGTGTCCCTGCTAGGAGGGGAGTTCTGAGGCTGAGCCACATAGGGGGTGTGCCCTGGTCTGCAGGTGTCTTGGGAGGGGCCTGGCCTGGGGACAAGACAAATGGCATGGGGGTATTAACGTGGCCTCAGGTTTCTGGCCTGGGCTGGGGGGCGTGGGTGCTCATAGAAGGTGCGGGCTGGACACTGACCCTGGCTGGGTAGCTGATGACAGCCCTGTCATCCTGAGCCCTGGGTTAACTGGGGGAGGAGAGTGGGGGCCACATTTGGCCCCAGGCACCAGGAGGCCTTTCACCCCCTTCAAAGGGAGCGCCCCTCCTGGTGTCCAGTCACAAGGCAGAGACTGGATCCCCAGCTCCTGGGGGGTGATTACTGTGGATCCAGCGTGGGTAAGCGAGGGTGCCAGCGCCCTGTTCTGTGGGGTGGGGCTGGCCCTGGCGGTCTTGGGGGCTGTGCCCTGGTCACTTGGGAAGCTGGGAGAGGCAGGTGGGGTCACCTCTGGCCTGTGTGCCATGGTCACCAGGTGGCCGTGGGGCTGCATCGGCTGGGCTCTCATTCTCCAGCCCCTGGCACATGATCATCACGCGGTAAAGCACCAATGCGTGAGAGCAGCAGGAAGGTTCCCGGGTCCCTGAATTATCCTCGTCCCCCAGGAGCTGGCCCTCACAGTCTGCTGTGATTACCTGGACATCATTCTGGTCACTGCTTTACGGCAGATGTGGGAGGGTGACTGTCCCCCTGTGGGTTAACTGACATCTCCCAACACCTCATGAGCCACAGAGGAGGCTCAGGTCCTGGGGGGATGAACAGGGTGGGGACTGGGCGGTCACACCATGTGTGGCACCATGTGGCAGGGCAGGGACAGAGTAGGACTGGAGCTAGGAGACCCCGCCTGCCCCACAACAGAGCTGAGTGGCCTGAGGGAGGGTGGGGCAAGGCCCTGTGGTCTGGGGGCTCTTCCATGAATCGGGGCTCAAGTTGGGTGATAGTGGGGTGCCGAGGTGCGTGGTGGTGCTCACATACAATGTGACTTCCACATCACCGCGTGTCCTGGAACCCCCTCTCCCTGACCGTGAGCTTACCCACTGTTGAGGGCATGTGTGCCTGCTGACTGAGACCCTGCCTCTGCGCTGGGGAGTCCCAGCTGCCTTGTACGGGGGCCCTGTACCGATGCTGAAAGCCAAGTGCGGGCGACCCTTCCTGGCACTTCTAGTCAGGTAGCCCCCGGGGCATGTGGGCACCGCGGCCCCTCCCTGGCTCTGCGTGTGTGCGCACATGCATGTTATGTGTGTGCATGAATGTGCGCAGAAATGTTCACATGTGCGTCCACGTGTGTGGGTGTGTGCATGAACGCGGGCACACGTGTGCATGAGTGTCGTGTGCGCACAAGAATATGCACGTGTGTTTGCACGTGTGTGCATGTGTGTGCCTGTGCACGTGTGTTTTATAAATCTCGTTGCTACTGGAGGCCACGTGTCCACGAGGGACAGAGGTGCAGAGGCTAGGACTTCCCACCAGTGTGCGCACCGGTCACCGTCAGTCTGCACTTGAGGTGTGTCTGTGCCCAGACCGGAGCTCGTCACTGTCCGTGACACGCTGGTCAGTTTGCTGCATCTGCTCCAGTCAGACCCTCCATGGTGAGGGCTCCCGCTGTCCCCATGTCCCCAGGGGGCCCCCCAAGCCTGTGGGCTGCGCCGGCGCCCTGGGTGGGTTTGGGTGGGCACCGAGATGAGGGTGGGGACTCACAGGTTTACCCGATTCACACAGATTTGGGGCCTGGCAAGGAGTCAGGAGGGCTCCCAGGAGTGGGGGGCTCGGCCCTTACAGCAGCCCTGACCCTGCACTGCGTGTCCAGCTCTGGCTGCTCCCCTGATGCTTACACCCCTCCTCCCCGTGCCCATGAGGCTGTGCTGCCCTGGGGGGTGGGCACCTGGCACCCCCACGCTCCAGCCTCCCGCTGGGCGGATGTCCCGGGGTGCCTTGTCAGAGGGGGTGGGGTGCCATGACAAGAGGAGGGGGGGTGGCCTCTGGGCCCCGGGGAGGGAGGGAGCCCGCCGGCCAGGGCTGCGCGAGGAGCGCCCAGAGCTCACCCTGCCTCCCTTGCGGTTCCGCGTCTGGCTGTTATCCTGGCCACATGCTCCGGCCACAGCGTCACGTGGGCCAGTCCCTCCTCCAGGTGCTCCTCGATGCCCAGTCCGGAGTTAGGGCCCAGGAGGGCCACCAGCCAGGTCAGCCCCTGCTTCCCAGGCCTGGGTCCTGGCAGGAGTGTGGGGGCGCCGCTGTTTCCCCCACTGCCCTTTACATCTGCACCCCCATCACCCGGCCGCACCTGCCCTCCAAGGCTTGGTTTCCCCACACGGCCCCTGGGGCCAGGGCCCTGGTGCCAGGCATCTGTGTCCTCTTGCCTCCGCACACCTGCCGGGGAGACCTTGGGATGTGGGGAGTGGGGCAGATGCAGGTGCCAGCCTGGGGGGACCTCGAAGGGCCCCCATGGGGTCCCCTCCGCAATGCCTCCCTTCTCCCGACCTCAGCTGCCCCCCAGACGGCACTGGGGTATCTGTCTCCCCGCTGGTCTCCCCCACCTGCGGTGTCACCCATGGCGGCCAGTGTGCGGGCTGGGCTGCCCCTTCCACCCCTGTCTTGATCCCTGGACGCGTGGGACCCCTGGTAAGTGGCCGGGAGCCAGGCTCGCCTCCCACCAGAGGCAGCCCCATCGCCGAGGCCCACAACGCTCCTCCGTGGCCATGCACGGCTGCCCTCGCTCCCCAGGCCCTTCAGTGGGGGGCACCTGGTAAAGTCTAAAGCCCGGGGCATGAGAGGCGGCCCAGGGTCACGTCCTGATGCAGCTGTGGGCCCAGAAGAAAGGATGATGATATTGAGGCTGGTTTCAGAGTCAGGGTGACCCGGGCCATCGTCAGAGTTGTGTCCCCGCCCCGAGGCCCTGCCTTGGCTGTGAGCACCCTCTCCCTCTGAGCCTGCTGGCTCTTCAGGAAGCAGGGATGGCTCTCAGGCCAGCTGTGGCTTTGGTGACCCCCGTGCGGAGCTGGGCTGCTCAGCACGCACTTGGCAAACCGCTGAGAAGAAAAGGCCTGAGCCAGGGTAACCAGAGGGAGGAGGGTGGGCACTGAGGTGCCAGTGCAGTGCCCAGGAGACCAGCCATTCACAGACATCCTGCATGCCCACTAGTGCTGGGCTGTGCCAGGCACCGTGGGCGTGTGGGGAGAGCCCAAGGGTCCAGAGTGGGACGGAACCCTGTGAACAAATGGTTTCAGCCCAAGCAGCCTAGCCAAGAGGAGGGGCCGTGCGCGCAGTGGGCCCCACAGAGCTCCTGGGGTGGACGGGGCACCGTACGCCCTTCCCCTCCTGTAGCTCATGAGGGTCCCGGACCTCGCTATTAAAGATGCAGCACAGAGATGCCCAGTAACTTGCCCAAGGTCACACAGTTACAGGCTGGTGGGGCAAGAAAGATTTGGACAAGTGGTGGAGCCCTTCCGTCTCTCGTCTGTGCCTCAGGCCACCACCAGAACCCCCAGTTCGAGTCCCCCCTCTACAGGATCTTGCCGGGCTTCCATAACGTCCACTCACACCCTGGCCATGGCAAACCAAGGGCGATGGAAATGTCACACCATTGTTGGAGGCAGGCTCAAGGGTCATTGGTGGCAGCCCCCTCCCTGTCCTTGTCTGTGAGGGATGGGATCCCTCAGATCTAGTCTCTGGCAGTCCCTCAGATCTAGTCTCATGTCTGTCATGGGGCCAGCTTGTTTCACAGCCCACCCAGCAGCTGCCAGGGACAGGTCTCTGTGCCAGTGCTGTCCTCACTCACCGAGTCACCAGGGGCTACCCTGGGCAGAGGCTGGGGCCACAAGGAAATTGCTTCCCTCCCCTCCAGGGGCTTGCAGTCCAGTAGGAGTGTGAGTGCGTGTGTATGTGTGTGTGCACGTGCATGTTCTGGGTGCACTGCGTGGGCGTGCACACGGGTATGTCCTTGTGCGTGCACACACGTGTGCACATGCACATGTATGCAAGTGCACCACAGTCCAGTAGGTGTGTGTGTATATGTGTGTGCACGTGCATGTACTGTGTGCACTGCATGGGTGTGCACATGGGTGTGTGCTTGTGGGTCCAAAGGCACATATGTGTGCATATGCATGCATGTACAAATGCGCCACAGTCCAGTAAGTATGTGTGCACATGTGTGTTCTGTGTGCACCTCATGGGTGTGCAGACGGGTGATTGTGTGTGCATACCTGTGCACATGTATGTGTGTGCAAATGTGTCAGTCCAGTAGGTGTGTGAATGTGTGTATACATGTGTGTGCACACGAATGTTCTGTGTCCGCTGCGTGGGCATGCACACGGGTGTGTGCTTGTACGTGTATAGGTACATGTGTGTGCATGTGCACATGTGTGCGAATGTGTCGCAGTCCACTAGGGGTGTGTGCACACAGTTGTGTGTAAAGAGTCCAGGGTGGGGTGCCCGGTGCCCTGGGAGCACACACGAGGAGAGGAGAGTTGGAGTCAGCGGTCAGGGTGGCGGTGTCAGAGGGGGACACACAGGAGTACAAGGTGGCACAGGCGGGGTGTGGGAAGGGCGGGAGCTACAGAGGGCAGTGCCAGCCTGCTCCTGCCCCAGTGGTGGGCTTAGGGCAGCAAACGTTGCAGCAGCGAGGTGACAAGCTTGAGGGGAGGCCTCCCCTTGGTGGGACCTCCCAGTAGGTGCCTCTGACGCGCTCTCAGCGGACTGGGTGCTAATGGGAAGGGTCCCGGGCTCCCCCAGCTTTGGGGTCGGCTGAGCCAGAGGAGTGGGAGGGGCAGGGCAGGGGTGGGGCCGTGACCCAAGGAG